CTACTGCTAGGATTTGAAGTATGCAGTAGTAGTGTTTGTTGTACTTGTTATTCGTCCTAATAGTGATAGATAGATACAACGCGATATGTTAATAGTACAATAGTTGAAAAGAGATGATCATAATTGTCTGTATGTCATAGTAACGATGATAACAACTAAATAAAGTCAACAAACATAAAAAGAAAACAAACAGGGAGGAAAGTGGGGGGGAAAAAGAAATGGCAAGAACGGGGTTCGAACCCGCGCCTCTTACGAGATCGCATTTCCGCTAAACGATTTACCAGTCCAGTTCTAATAAACCAAACCAGGAAAGTTCCAACGACTTAAGTGCGACGCCTTAAACCACTCGGCCATCTTGCCTATTCAGTACCTTGTTTTTCCGAAAGTTCGGATCAAGAGAGGGTTGGGGTGGGGCTGGTTGCAGGGATGAATGACATGTGATCAAAGAAGTGATGAGAACGAAAATCAATGGATAAAAAAGATTATGACAAGAGTGGGACTCGAACCCACGCCTCTTTCGAGACTGCAATGCTATCCAGCTGTTGCTGGACAAGATATTTCACTTGAGTGCAGCGCCTTAGACCACTCGGCCATCTTGCCTGTTGATATCGATTGCTTCGCATTATTGGTAATGTATTGGGGATCGTGATGGGGGGGTGGAAGGTGTCATTGTAAATGGGAATATGTTGTGTTGGTTTTGTACTCTGGGTTTGGAGGATATTTTGGGGAGTATGGATTCTGCAGACGGTTGTATTCGTTCGGGTTATCGATTATTTCTTTGATGTCCACTCGATCATACGATGGTGCAGTTAGGTGGATAGTATGCTGAATTTGAACAAACTAATATACATGCCAGTAGTTTATTATATGTGGCTACCATAGAAAGACACATTTTCATATCCATCACCACAGCGCATGGATGGATGGATAGCGTATGCAGTTAAAGTTACTATTAGTTAGACCATCCATTAACACTTTACCGTAGCTAGAGTCTAAAGTGCAGTTGTGTATCCAGTGCAGTTGTAGATGAAATGTGGGTGGGGAACTACCCATCTTCACGGGCAAAAGCAGGGCGACTGTCACATTCCAGTCCCGCGTACACGAATAACCTCGTGCCTTTTTCTGAAGAAATAATGCTGTTTTCCAGTAAGGCTGATCGCGGAGAAAATTATCTTATTGATGAGGGACTTCACGGAACTGACAGGTCGAGATAACAACACTGTATCTTGACTTCCGAGATATGACAGGTCCATTTGCTTCGATTCTAATTCCTTGCAGTATATGCCACAAAATTGGCCAGTTAGTCATCAAGGCAAGATGGCCGAGTGGTCTAAGGCGCTGCACTCAAGTGAATAGCTTGTCCAGTTCAACTGGATGAATTGCAGTCTCGAAAGAGGCGTGGGTTCGAGTCCCACTCTTGTCATATCGTTTTGCTCCTATTTTTGCATCCACATGTACCCCGTATCGAGCGCGTGCAAGTAACAAAAAAAAACATCGGCTAGGGCCATAGCAAATCTAACTATAGCACCGGGGAAGACATCCGGCAGCTGTCCTAGCTTTGAACATACCGAATATGACCGTGGCATCCTGAAAGCGGACTACGGGTGAGGATGCACCATGCCGAGACGGAGTAGGGGGAAAGCTAAGTTGGTGTCGGGGAGCCTACGCAGCCAAGTCTAAGCTCAAAATTGTCTAGATCCAGAAGATCAGCACCGTTGGCGAGACGAAGCTGGATGGGATGGGCGGCCGGGTCCACCAAATCTCTGGGCTAAAAAGGATTTGGGGGTCGGACCCGCCCCGCTAAGTGGATGATCGTGCGGTGGGATTAATCAATTAGCATCAGCAGGTTGGGAAGCCAGTATATTTATTGGGACTCCTGCTCCTGGGGAGGAAGTGAAGCTTTTTGATGCATCAAGTTGTTTTCCGAAGGATACGAGGTGATGGTGGCAGTCGTTATAGTTGCTGCAGAACCTTAGTGCAGATATGGGGGGAAGAAGGGAGAGTAGATTGGCCAGCGTGGGCTGCGTGGCACAAGCAGATAGAGTGCAGCACCCTGGTTGCTTTTACGTTGACCGGGATCATATCGATGCAGGCGCCCAGGCCACGGCGACCTGAAACGCCAGACCAGGTTGGACCGGGATGAAGATGCAACTAGCGTGAGAGTCAAACCAGCCCAGATGATCTGCGAATTATTCGTAGTTCGTGTGAAATATAGGGGACATCTGACTTATGGCGGGCGAGAGGATAAGACAGAGAGAGGCTTGAGAGGCCTGTCCAGACCAGATAGAACCCCTCCCGGGCGAAACCCGTATGGGCAATTTGGATGGTGCAGGAAGTGTGTGGTGATTCTGGCCCCAACCGCCACTTCATCAGCACCAAGGCTGGGCAGCGCATTCCCATTGGTATGACTGGCCAAGTGGTCGCGCGGTCGGTCAATCAAAAACGTGGCGGCCACGAGCTATAGCCACGCACAACCTAAGAAAAGGGTTTCAAGGAGGTCTGACATGGGCCAGGCCAGAGGTACTATGTACTATGTAGTCAGAGGAATACTAGTTCTGGGGCCACTCGGTTGGCAGGTAGGGGCCATTCAGATTGGGATGGGGGTTGAAGCACGAGGCGGAAAGGATGGCGGTGGGAGAGAAAGAAATTAGAGAAAAAAGACCAAATACCAGACAGGTGGTATTCATGGGAAGAAAGTTTGGAAGAGGCGGAGAAGAGACAAAGAACAAGCAAAGGAAGAAGCAAAGAGGCGCACAGGGGATTTAAGGGAAAAGCAAACTCTCGGTCGGCAGCAGTGGGGAAGGAAACAAGGTGCTTCGATGGATGTTCCTTGCCTGGTGCAGGTTTAGTAGAGTTCTGGTATGTTGGTAAAATTTTAAAAAAATTAAGAAGTAAAAAACAAAAGTACGACCGACAAGGCTGGCAAACACACAAACTATTGCTGCATCAGGGGAGATAGATAGTACAACAGTCCATCTGCTTGCCTGCAGGTGCAGATTTTCCAGACCTCTTCGGCGCATCATCCCTTCTCGCGATGTCACCCACGGCGTCCACCACTTTTAACTTAGTTAGTGAAGCTGCTGCTCTCCACCGCAGGCCCAGTCTTTTCTGTTTGACTTGCTCCATCCAGGCCGTCTCGTCTCCCATTCGCATTTCGCCCTGGCGACTCCGTAGTCTACTCCGTATCTCTCTCCCACTTGCCGGCGCGCCTTTCCCTCGTGGGCCCAAGCGGCACTTCTCCTGGGCTTAAACCATCCCCTTTTCTGTAGTCTCCATCAGAATAACTCCATCTCATTAACTGAGTGAAGGAGTAGTAAGTATCTTCACTTGGGTAAATTTTTTTTGTGTAGTTCTTATTTTTACCTTTTTTTTTTTTTTTTTTTTTTTTTTAAATTTTTTTTTTTTTTTTTTTTTTTTTGGTAGTATTAATTATCCTCCACTCCGTATACCCTAATCCATTTCCTCACCGCCGCTATTTCTCTCTCTTTTTGTTTCATATTATCCCCTTCCACATCTCTTCTTGCTATTCAAGATAAGTCTATTTTGTAGAGTTTTCAAACTGGTCAGAGCTTGTAAATATACACCCGTGTCTTACCGTGTAGCCGGTTCCAAGCCACGAAGGTTTTCCATCCATCGCTTCAGCTTGGATTTCTCCAGACTTTCGACTTCGCTTACCCAGTGCCGACCCAAGAACCCCTCCTGTTGAACCCCATAGTTTAATCCAGTCACCTGGGCCATTGCGCCTCGTATTGGGGACAGCTCATCTTCCCTCTATCGCTTCGTCTCGCTTTCTCTCTCCTCTTTCATACATTTTTCTTTCCCCCTTTCCCTCCTCTTGTTTCTGTTTGCATTGGAGGTTTCTGCATTGTCGTATTCCTTCTGGCTGGGTTCCAGAACGAAAGTTAATACTGTGAAGAAGCAAAACAAGACCAAACTCAAAAAGAACAAAAAAGAATAAAAAGGTAAGTAGAGAAAAACCCAAGAATTAAAGGGCAAAAAAAAAAAAAAAAAAAAAAAAAAAAAAAAAAGAAAAATAAGAAAAAGAGAAAAAAAAAAAAAGAAAAAAAAAAAAAAAAAAAAAAGAAAACATCACACCTCAATCTCCATCACCATCAATCATCATTTGCAAAGTCCCTGGGCCCCATCCTGGTTGGTTTCGTCAGCAGGGCCAACTGGGCGAGTAAGGGAACTTTCTGCGCGGTAACTTTAGTGTACAGGCGACCGAACTACTTTCGGCCCGCCTTGCTGGTCAGAAAAGTAACTAACTTAACTCATCATCTTCTCCGTCTTAGGGGCTGCCCCCGTTCCTCTCTTACCTTTTGGCTACTGCTGCTGCTGCTGCTGCTGCTGCTGCTGTGCTGCCGCTGCTTGCTACTTACTACTCGGAATTCCATCCCATATTCTATTTGCTCTTTTCCGCCCCCCTTCTCCCTCTCACGCTTTCGCGCTCTCTTTCTCGCTTCCCCCCCGACCAGGCCTCCGTTTGGTTGTCCTCGTCGGGACTTTTCGTACTTGTCTTCCATCCAAAACTCTCTCTACCTCTTTCTTCCCTTTTACTTCCTGCCATCATCGCTCTTCATTGGGGTATGTTTCACTCCTCCAAAAGTCTGCTATCTATCTCCTTTGCGAATCGGGAAAATGAGCCCCTCCGCCCACGTTCCCCCCGTCTCAATAGACCTCTGCACTCTTCCGCAATTATTTCCTCCTAACTAACACCTGTCTCATCCTGTCTAGGTCTGCATGTTCATACCTCATCTTCATCGCCTATAAAGTTCCTATCCTTCTCTCCTACGACCTCCCTCAATCAATTCGCCCCCCCAATCCCCTACTCCCCATCGACCACTCCCTCTCATCTCACGATTCGCCTCTGCGATATTTCTCTCGACTCCCACCCCTCGCATTCCATCTTCCAACGTCGAGAGTATTGTGGTTCCAGTGGGATGTTGCTATTGGTGACCGAGAACAAGATCTCCAACGTCTGTGGTTACACAACTGTCTAAATGGGAAACTCGCAAGGGAAACAGGTGGCCGCCACCGATGAGTGTACGTATCGGGTTGGCAGACAATAATAGGCGGCGGAGGGGCTGACAGTGGCGCAGTAAATTTGAATCAGTTTCGTTTGTTGCGGGTGGTTGGCAAGGGTGCGTTCGGCAAGGTTCGCATCGTGGAGAAGAAAGACACCGGGTTGACGTTCGCGCTGAAATATATTCGGAAGGAAGAAGGTATGTGGCTGCCGATCGAGGGCCTCAATGCACGCTGACATTAGGTGCTCGTTTCTTGGGTAGTTGTCCGGTCGGAAAGCGTACGAAATATCATCCGTGAACGGCGGATGCTCGAGCACCTCAACCATGCCTTCCTTTGCAACTTGAGATACAGCTTCCAAGACATTGAATATATGTGCGTCCTGCAATAGCTCTCCCAACACGACATCCCCATCATCCGTCCGCAGTCACTGATAATTGAGAAGTTACATTGTGGTGGATTTGATGAATGGCGGTGACCTCCGCTTTCACATCTCGCGGAAATGTTTCACGGAGGAGGCAGTGAGATTCTGGATAGCTGAGCTGGGCTGCGCTCTGAGGTACATTCACTCGCAGGGAATTATCCATCGTGACGTCAAGCCGGACAATATTCTGCTTGACTCGGAGGGGCATGTTCATTTGGCCGATTTTGTAAGTCTGCCGGTCGCATGCGATCTGATGATTCGAAACTGACCTCCGCGGGACAGAACGTTGCCTCTGACTTTCGACCCGGCAAACCTCTCACAAGTAAATCGGGAACACTGGCGTATCTCGCTCCGGAAGTGTATGAAGGAGGCGGATACTATTGCGAAGTTGATTGGTGGTCACTTGGAGTTACATTCTACGAGTGTATCTACAACAAGGTATGTCGCTTCGCTTCTTTGACAGTTCGGTCCGTTGCTGACTCCAGTAGCGCCCGTTCGAAGGTCGGAGCCAGGACGTGCTCAGCGAAAACATCAAAAAGGCGCAACCAAAGTACTACGTCACCAACCCCGCGGTCTCCGTTCCCTGCCTCCGAGCAATGTCGGCGTTTATGGAAAGAGATCGGTCGAAGCGGATTGGTGCGATCAGCTTTGAGAGCTTCACCTCGCATATGTTTTTCGCCGACCTCGACTTTGTTGCCCTGGAGTCGAAGGAAATCCCGCCTGTGTTCCGTCCGTCCAGCGACAAGACCAACTTTGACGCCACATATGACTTGGAGGAACTTCTCTTGGAGGAGGCGCCGCTCGAGGCCAGAGCTCGCCGGCAAAAACCGAGAGCCGAGTTGCGGGAGGATGCGACGGCTAAGGAAATCCGCGAGGACGAACTGCATCGTCTCATTGAGACGATGTTTGAGCCCTTCGATTATACAAAGGTGAACTACGTAGGGTACGTTGGTCTCCAAGCAAACGGAGATGGGGATGCCGTGCTAACCAACATCAGCAACGCTGCGGATGCGATTGCAGCATCAACGTAAGTCCTCCTTGCCTATCTTGTCTTGTGGCTTTAGCTGACACTGGCCAGAAACCCGGAAGAATGCCTGCCGATCCACCAAACGCAGTCGTCAACGCATTCCCGACAAGTCTCACAGCCCGACCTCTCCAGAAACTCGCCTCCTCTCCGAAACGATGGCTCTGTCAGTCACTTGACTCAGCCTGACACCCCGTCTCCTCTCAGCGAAACCCCCACCTCGCAAGCCTCGCTACCTCCTCCACCCCCGCCGCCGGCCCCGCCCTTCCACCGTCCCTTGCCACCGACTGCCGTGCGCCCGCGGGGCGCGACCCGGAAACAAAGCAAGGGCGGAGGGGTACAGATGGTGTTGGAAGAAGCGGGTAGCTGGAGCGAGCTTGCGGATCATAGCTCCACCCTGCCTGCCGAAGGCTACGATACCGGGTCAGTCAAAGGGAAGGGCTCCAATAGCGGCATGCTCGCCTTCCTCAGCAGGAAGAAGGGGCGCGATAGGAGCCCCAAGCCCCAGGAGCCCGGTGTGCTGGGTAAAGAAGGCGCCCGGCAGATTATCAGCTGAAGGGCTGGCATTATACCCGGAGGAGGAACGCATCGCTATGACTTGACCACTGTTGGACAGTTCGATAGAGATTTTTTATTCTTTGCCCGTTGAGAAGCTCGCGCTTTTTAATACGAGATAGCATGTCGCCTATCTGGCCGCCTTTCATTCAGGGCGTTGACATGAGAATCGCACACGACTGGCCCCCCGAGGTTAGACTCGGACAACACGCAGCCCCGATCAAAAGCTTGCTTTTGGGGAAGACCCATAATTATCAGGCAAATTCCAACCATGCCAGGGTGGTTTGTTCATTCGTTTTTGTTTGCTGGCACCGGTCTTGACCGTGAGAAGCCGCGTTGCAGGCCGAAGCCGACATCTGACGGCGTCTTGGCATGACAGCATATCCATCATTCTCAGTCGTTTCTCACCGTCCCGAATTCTTCTTTATGGGACTGGTTTAGTCATTGGTTTCCCTGGATCCAGCGCAGATCAGGTTCTTTCTTTGCACTTCTATTTCCTTGATGGTGTTGGCTCCGGAGTTGTACAGATGGGAGTGGCATATGACGATTTCTAATTCATCTATCCTTGTGACATACCAACGATGGTCGAGATGTACCGTTTTCTTCTCTAATTGTTTGATTGTGTTGATTTCACCCCATTTGATATCTCTGTGGCGTTTTGCATACCCGGTGAATAGTCGCGGCCCCGACGTGGAATGTACCAGGCATCATGGAGACGGGGCCAGATCGGGAATTACCCTTGTAACTAATGACGTTTCTCCTTTCATTATACCTATAGACCTGAATGGAGCATTGTGATCGGCGATGTGCCTGGATATTAGCCTCGATGTTAGTGTGCAGAGTTGACAGTAGGATCCCGATGCTAAGCGTACTGCATTCAGATATGCAAGAAGGTTTGTCTTTGGGTTTAGCAGACTGGGTCTTCGTTGCGTGTGATCGATCTAGCACCTTCATTGCCTCGGCTGCCTACTGCCTACGGAGTATATCTGGCATCTTCTTCATCGGAACATATGATCTGACCTGAGTTTTAGGTTCTATATCATCCGGATATTGGGTGCAAGTCTCCGAGCACCTGCAGACGTTATTGATTCGACCTGTCATGATCGTAGCAGTTATACTATGCGCGGGACGTATTTGTATATTGGCCGATTCAGCGGACTCAAAAATGGTGTCATGTAGAACTATTTGTATTACACTCTTACATTAATGAAAAGTGTAGACCTTGATCATCTATTTGGAAACGTCTTTTATTTACAGTGACAGGTTCATAACTTTCTGGACTGATGAGTGATATTCTATCACTGGGATGTTGACTTGCCTCACTGGGAATGTGAACACCTCAGGCAGAAACTGCTTTCCAGGCCAGTAAACTACCTTCTGTGTTATTTCGTACGTATGGCATAGAAACGACCCCCAATTTCCTCCTCCCATATTTATTTCAGCCTCGCTGACTGTCATTGCGCTTATACTTGCAAATTGTCTGCACTGTTCTCCGGCCAGAACAATGGGAGTGACACTGCTACATGCACAGTTCAGCTCACTCCAATACCAACAGCACCACCACTACCACCATCACCAAGTCAAACCCTATTCTCGCTTATTAACTCCTTTTTAAACCATTGAACTATATTGATCTCAAATCGGTGTAACCAGTTCCCATCCCTCCACACACCTACATCAACAATCCACCAACCATCAGCCAAGACCAAAGGATCATACTAACTAGCCCGACAATCCCCCCCCTTTACATAAGAGCCCCATCAACAACGAATTTTCTACCAGAGATGTTTCACTTCACTCTCAATCGCTAGGCAAGATGCAATGTCAGCCACTGAAACAGTCAGTAAAGTCACGACCAGCACCGTACCAATTGCTGACTACTCAACCGCATACAACAAAGGTCCATATACGGGAATATCTTTACCATGTATATCGTTGATGATTGGGCCTGGGCCGTGGCGCGGACGATGTACTTCGGACATTGGTGGTCAGGGGATATGGATTGTTAGTAGCCTGCGGGAGGATGTATTTCGTGGGAGGGAGATATGGTGATTCGGTTGGGTGTATGAATTACTATATAACATGTATATATAAGGCAATCGCTTTGACATAACACGCGGACTATCTACATCTGAGTTAAGCATATCACCCCTAGTATATATGAAAGGATGGGATATTGAATGGCTAGCTGGGAAGACTTGACTGAGTCGTAATAGAAGTTATTATATTTGCCGAGATGAGCATTTCTAGTTTGATATAGAGTTCAGCGTTCTTGAGTTCTAGAATATCTGGACACATGTGTGAGCTATCTGTATATCTTCAGACGATATTATGAGACTAGCCATGAACTACATTATGGTAGAACATACTATATCTCCGCCTTCACTGCTGTATCAGGATGGGATTCCTATTATCGAAGATGTGATTACTGATACATTATCTATTAAACCCCCGGATGTGATGTTAGCGACGGCAGCCAAGTGAGCTGCCGAGTTGATACCCTTCTCAATTTATGATATATTAGACCCTATTATAGTGCTAGAATGCACTGCACAGTCATTTGACAAACAGATGACTTGCATAGTTGACAGTAAGGAGTGCCACGTGTGAGACGTGAACATTGCCCTACCAGCTGTCCTGAACAGCATGCATCAGTATCATGATTGATAATACAAAACCCATCTACAGTCCAAGACAATTATACTCATCATGCACAGCATAGAATACCGTACCCTAACTATATACAAAAAGCGTACAATACTATATACATCATTCCAACTCCTAAGTAACAACCGTAATCACTCACTCCCTTCCTCCTTCCCCCCATCACCCTCCCCATCCGCACCTTCATCTCCGTCCTCCACAACAATCACCACCTCCTCCTCCCCATCATCCTCCTTAACCCCCTCCTCCCCACCCACCTCATTCTTCCAACTCCCCGCATAATGATGACTAACCAAATACTCCCCCTGCCCCTGCGGCATCCCGCCCTGCAACGCCGCAAAGCTCGCCTGCGGCAACACAAGCACATCCCCCAACAACACCCCGCCCTCCCCAATCCCCTCAATCTCCTCCTTACCCACCCCACGACCCACCTCCTCACTAATCGTCTCCAACAAAGCAACAGTAATAGCCTGCGGCCCCGTCACATCCACCACATCCGGAATCATATCCATCGTCAGCTCGCCCACAGTCACATTATTCTCCCTCGCAAGCCCCTCCAACCTTCCCGCTACATACTCAATCGCATGATATATATGTCCATTCCCGGGTGTAGACATCACCGTCCACGACGCGAACTGCCATCCGTCGAACTCGATCCCCACGACCACGTTCGCCGTCGGCGGGATCGGCCATTGCGATATGGGCACTTCGCAGGATACGTCCAGGTCGGACCAGATCCCGCCGTCGATGTAGAGGATTAGGAGTCTCAGGAGGTCGGCGCGGAGGATGGGCACCGAGAGGGAGGTGTATAGGTCGGCGATTTCGGGCCAGATGGGGCGGAAGTTCGTTTCCACGTAGGCGAGGCTGGATGTTTCCGTGAGGATTTCGTGCCGTAGGTGTGGGTTTAGGGTTGTCCAGGTTGAGATCCAGGATTCGGCTTGCGTGGTGAGGCCTTTTGTGCCGGTTTTTTGCCACAGTTTATGGGGGATGGAGTGGCTGGTTGGTTGGGGGTGGGTGTGGGTGTGGGTTTTGGGAGGGTGGGTTGTTGTTGTTGTGGATGTGGATGTAGATGTGGATGTGGTGGTGTGGGTGGTGATCGTTGCGAGGGTGGTGGTTGGGAACAGGGTTGTTGGGTCTTCGGTGGTGGTTATTTGGGGTGGTTGCTGTGGTGGTAGGTGTATTTCTTGTATCTCTGCTGCCGCTGGGCTTGGGGTTGGGACGATGGCGGGTGAGATTGGTACGACGGGTTGGCGGATGAGTCGGTGGAAGAGGTAGAGGTTTAGAAAGACGAGGGAGAAGATGAGGATGGCCGTAGGTCGGGTTAACATGGTGGACATTATGATGTTGTTTATTTTAGTTGTGGTTGTGGTAGTGGTTGGTCGTGATCGTGGTAAATGTCTATTGATGCATCGCAGGATAGCCGTCCAATGAATGAATGAATGAATGAATGTAGATAGTTAATAAACCGAGTAGGAAATCTGCACAAAACAATATCGGAAATCTAGTGTACTGTATTGATGGAAAGAATGAAGAAATAATGAATGACTAGGTGAGTTACACCTGAAATCTGCAGGGTCCACGCCCGTCTTAAAGGCGTTCAGCTGCATCCTAAGAAAGGAGAATTAGCCCTGTCCCCGACTAAACATGGCCAGTCAGATGGACCTACAGACGCCACGGATGGACCCTCCGGACCCTCTCCGCTGAGATGGGGCGATGGCAGCCGATTGGCTTCCCGCTCTGACTTAGGGTCCAGTGTTGATGAGATTGCTGAGTTCACCGCGTTGCTCAGAACTCTGTTGCACGCTTTTTCTCTTTCAAGTAAATGAATAATGGGCGTTTTGGCTGTTCAGGTTGGTTGTGTTTGGGGGCTGGAAAGCAGGCTCGGACTAGTGGGGATAGTGTAGTTTTACTTTTTCTGCTGATGAATACCATGTCCGGATGGAAGTCTTGGTAGTCACTAGTTGTGATGTATTTGCTAGATATTGGAATGTGAACATGAAAGGAATAAAGGATTTCTATTCCCTAAATTCAACCTTTCTAATGCATGTCAAAGTAGTTATAAGTGGTAGGACAGGCAGCCGGTGACACCCGCATGTAACACAGCAGCAGTCACGTTGCGGCTGTACCCTGTTGTAGTATCGATCAGACATTCAACCAACATTGAGGGCAGAATGATAAGCTGCTGATCTGCCAATCTAAGCAGCCAGTCTGTATTGAGAAATGGGGGCGTCAGGTCAGATAAGTTAGTCTGGAGCGGTGTCTTGTCTTGACTTTTGAGAGTCGTGGCCGGATTGGGTGGAGTCTATTTTTAGCTAAGTTTGAATTGGGTTGGGTTGC